TAAAACTTTTGCCAAGACGACCATGCGAGTTGGTAGGACGGTTTACAGGGGCGGATGGAAATTACTGACTCGCTGTGGCGACCCCTGAATAGGGACGTGCCGAAAGGAGAAGAAGAAGAAGAAGAAGAAGAATTGCTTCATTGGAGAAGCAGCTTCTTTTCAAATTAATGTGCAGAACGGCGCAGTGCGTTTACAAGTTCCCGACATTGTGAAAGTACCCTGAATGCACCATGCTGCTCACGTTGGAAGTGTGTCGTATATGTGAATCTGATTACCGTATTTTCCAGAGTATAAGTCGCAGTTTTTTTTCATAGTTTGGCCGGGGGTGCGACTTATACTCTGGAGCGACTTATGTGTGAAATGGTTAACACATTGTACACATCACATGTTATTTTCAAGTTAAACCGCAAGAGGGTGCTCTCGGCCTGTGTTGATACTTTCCACGTTGGCGGTAACTGAGAAAAACAACTAACGATGACTCTGACTTAAGCGACGTAGAAGAGGAAGCGCTGCATCTTCTACCTCCGGAGTTGGCGGAGTTGTTTAAAAGTGACACCGAGCATGACGATTTTATTGGATTTCGTGATTTGGAGTGATGCTGATAGTTTGGTAAATTTGTTCGCAGGTTCTTTGTGCTATAGTTGTCGAAATAACTCTTAATATGTTACGTGAACATACCAGGCACATTCACAGTTCATTGTTTAAGCGTCAGCTAACGTTAGCATATCATACACTTATTCAGCCTGTTCTCTAGTTTTATTTTTATTTTAAATTGCCTTTCAAGATGACATGTATGTTTTTGGTGTTGGATTTCATCAAATAAATTTCCCCCAAAAATGCGACTTATACTCCAATGCGACTTATATATGTTTTTTCCTTCTTAATTATGCATTTTATGGCTGGTGCGATTTATAATCCGGCGTGACGTATAATCCGAAAAATACGGTACCTTCTTATAAATTTTCTATTGTCCTTTCAAGTGATATTTAAAGATGAGTTTTCAAGGATTCAAGCAAATTTTACTTGGCACAAAATGCAATCCCCGAGATCCCAGGCCAGGTTAGCCCAGTAAGTCCCAAGACTTGTGAAAATAAAAGATCAAATAAATATGATAAAGAGATAAGGGAAATGCTTTTGAAAAAATGAATGAAAATGTAAAAGGCTTCAATTTCACATGATGTTTACGAGGCCGTTTCGTACTTGAAGATGAGAATAGCATGTGCAAGAGTAAAGTGTTGACGATGCAGAGAAGAATGGGCATGACGCTATGATCAGAGTTTTGAGTAGTTGAGTTTTAGGAGTTGAATAAATAAGTTTTGAAATCAATGAAAAATAGTTTGAATCACCGTGATTTCAATCTCAGTCAAACTAACTGTGATTATTTTTTTCCATCATTGTCCGGCTCTCATATATGCATTCACATCCTCCCCTCTTGCCCTAATTTATTTTCTCGAAAAGCCTGCTGTCTTTAAGTCACTCCACTTTGAGCTCTCCAGCCTCTAAACCCAGCACAGCTATTTTCCACACAAACATCTCATTCCAAATCCTGTGTTTAGACAACACAATGAAATGCAGCCAGTTTGTTTAGGTATATGTGTGTGTGCGTGTGTGCGTGCGCGTGATGGATGGCATAGGCTGGAGCTGGTCTGGAGTTTAGATCAGAGCAGGGTTATCATTACTGATCCCTGCTGTGTCTCTGTGACCCTTTGTCCGTACGTTCTGACTTTTAGCCCTGCCACCATCCCCTACTCCCTATCCACGCACAAGCACACAATAAAACACATTCATGCCTGTCAGAGCTCGCCTGGGATGCCCGGAATCAAGTGGTGGACATCCCCTGCAGTGACACGAGGGCAGCCTGAGAGCCACCTAAACAGGCACCATTTGTTGCTTACTTTACCTCACACCTTTTGTTGCTTGTTCAGCCTCAGTGATGGAGCATAAAGTGGGTATTGGGGGGGGGTCGATGAAGGAAAAGGCATACAGCGCCACAGGGTCAGAGTGCAGCTGAACTTTTGGAATGAGCCCTTGCATTGTATCTTTCTGCAATGCTTGACAATAAATCAGACCAGATAAGCTGGCTCTTTAGATGTGGATTTACATGCTATTGCTGAGTGGGTGGACCACATTCCCACCCCCGGCGATGGGGAAACGATCGCAAAGGCATGCTTTCAAACGCAAACATACGGTGAACTCGACTGTACGGGAAAAGCTGCAAACGTGCTCACCTCTCGCTGCATCTTGGGCTTTAAATGCATGCGGTGCATGCGGTTGGCATGGCGATTATACTGTACATAATACATGATGGATGAAATGGGCCACGGTGTATACACAGGCGGCGGTGTAAGAAATAAAGCGAGCTTGTCCTATTGCAAAGGACAACGGCATTAACATACAACAAAGACAAATACAACATCTGAGCGTTGCTGACATGGGAGACTTTCAGTATATGAGGCTAATAATGATGCACCATCACTTGGATGGCGCCTGCTTGCCTGCTGAAACACCCCGGCGCCAAGTACTCTTCGTTGCTCTTACACGGCAGACATGGCAGCACGCCAATAAAGTTGTTGCTGTCAGGTCTACAAACAAAAACTCTTTCTGCAAATCCTTCACCTGCCCATCTGAAAGCTCGACTACTCCCCTGTGGAGTAAAGTGTCCATTATTACTGCAAAATGCTACTTGAGCAAAAGTATGGGTCAATTAGGAACCTTATATTACAATCCTATACTGTACTACAAATTCACTTTTTTCATCAATTATTATTGCCATTAATTGTTATATATTAACAATTAATAGTCATTGTTTAAATGTAATTACTTACATTATATTAAACATTTTTGATGGTTTACTATAACACCGACATACTGTAAGAGTTATTTATTAAACAAAACTGGTTGTATAGACTGGTTGTATATTCTCGACATACGTGAGAAACGGTTCTTATGTCTGTCTGATATTTCCTTCCCTTGGCCAAGGTCGTCTGGGATGGGGTCCACCGCACACGCGACTTAAGCGATGATAGTGTAGAAAATGGTGGAGTGCGTCTGTTTTCTACAACGGAACTCGACACGTTTTCATCTAAGACCCAGTTTATGATGTAAATTATGACTCCACGCTTTTCCTCTTCTATCTGCAGCTCTGACATGAAGTGATTTATCAATGTCAGACAACATCGACATTTAAAAATTGTAATTATGTTTGGTTTTAAGAATATGAAAGGTAATGAAACGTTATAGGTGAGGATTCCCAACTCCTTCTCTATTATAATGCAGGTTAGAGGTCTGCAAAAACGTATATCTCTGTAACAACAAATATCCTGACATAGTATTTTTCCTGAAGATTACATGAAATTGATGGCAATTTTTTCATGGCAATGCTCAGTTTTGATTGGCAGAGTGAAAGAGCTTTTTAGTTGAGAGGAGACAATAAATCATCCCATGAGTTTTCTCAGTGTTTCAACAAGCAACAATAGCCTCTATCTCCCTTCTCGGTCTGTTGTTAACTTTAATTTCATTGATTTTTTTAAAATTGATTTAACAGATAATAATTCCTCATACGGAAATTCAACTGACACACGGCTGTATATTTGTGTTGGGAATCAGCTGACACACATGCAAGCAGGGCTATGGGAGTATAGGGGCACGTTTAAAGTGCTGCACTTAAGCTGTAGGGGCAGACAGTATCTTGCTCAAAGGCACGGCGACAATGGTCCGGAATATTAGCATCTCTCCACCGACCAGTGCCCTCATTTATGAGACATCATTAAAGATTTCTTGATCCTTAGATGCTGATAAACCAAGAGTTTTCCTGTCGTTTTCAGTAAAACATTGTGTCAGATTTCAGTGCTTTTCTTACGGTTGGCTTATAATGTAAACAGTCATAAAATGCTGGCGCTGGCTGTGGTGGAATGCATGTTTTCATTATGCGCTGTAAAAACAACGCACTATTTCCTCCCCCAAAGCCCTAAACGCTCCGAGTACCTCAGCAGATTTCAGTTTTAAGCATTATGAAAGGGATTTTTTTAAACTAATCTTGCCAGGGGCAAAGCCAGTGTGACACAACACCTGAGTGAGGGCTGAGAAGGGGTGGCCGTGCATCTGTGTATCATACGATGCCCGGTCAGGGTTTCATCTGATAAAATTCGCATGTATCCAGAATGCCCGTCACAGTCCTGATCAAGCAGCAACAAGTCTAATGTTAACAAACAATAAGAGTGGTCAATTTGTCACAGACGGCTGACGCCATTTTGCAAAATAGGATCAATGGCTCAGTCATTCAAATAATATCTAGAATCAAGGGGTCTTAGTACTGCATCAATCTGAAAACAGCAGTGAAATCATCCATCCATCCGTCCATTTTCTGATCCGCTTTATCCTCACAAGGGTCGCGGGGGGTGCTGGAGCCTATCCCAGCCGTATTCAGGCAGTAGGCGGGGGACACCCTGAACTGGTTGCCAGCCAATCGCAGAGTACACAGACGGACAACCATTTGCACTCACACTCACACCTCGGGACAATTTAGACTAGAGTGTTCAATCAGCCTGCCATGCATGTTTTTGGAATAAGGGAGGAAACCGGGGTAACCAGAACACACCCACGCAGGTACGGGGAGGACATGCAAACTCCTCATATGAAGGCAGGAGCCGGAATTGAACCCTGCACCTCTGCACTGTGAGGCGGATGTCCTCACCTGTCGCCCACCATGCTGCCCGCAGTAATCACAAATCTGACCCTAGTTGTGGGGGTGGCCGGAGTGTGAAGCTCCGCCCCTGAATCTTGCCTTCCCCAGAATATAAACATGTCAGGAAAACAGTTTACTTGAACCTGGACTGTCAACAGTTGGCAATTACATGACTTTGGTCCGTTGTCACGCTGATACCGCAGTCACCGTTATACGACAATTTAAGTCATGAGCGTGAAACAATATATTAACTGTTCTCTAGTTAAATGAATGTTAAACCACGACAACAATACATCATCTTGGAGAGGAAACTTACACGTGATGTAGTAGTTGACGTTCCTTTTGAATTCCAGGCCCATGTAGTTGGGGCTGAACTCCTGGAATTTGATGGTAAACTTGATGTCCTTCTCCGGCTTGTTGCAATTGACCAGGACATTTGGATCAAGGACCGTGCTGCAGCTCTCCGCCTGCTCCCTCTTCACCAAGTACAGCTTGTAGTACTCATACTCTCGGCCTTGGTCCGCTCTGGGACAGATGATATCCAGCTTGTCACCGATGTCTGGGTAGATAATCAGGCCTTTGCCAGCAACAAATCTGTGAGGCAAAAAAAAAAAAAAAAAAGACAGACTGTAAGTAACACGTCATAAAAAAAGTCTGGAAAAGCAGCCACAGCATTTCAAAACAGTTTATATAGCCCTAATAGTTTGGGCTTTAATGTAAAGCAGTTCAGATGATGGATGGCTGGATGGATGTCTTTTAAGTCCTAAAGCGTTGGCTCTTGGGCAGAGCTGTTAATTTGGGCCCACTAACATGACAAGTTACAGCTTGACCATATTGAGGGACACAAATCCTCAGAGGTTCTTTCTCACACACAGGTTGGAAATAAAGGAAGGAAACAACCTGGCCACACACAAAATTGCAGCCATTAAAAGGATTAGAGGAAGAGTGGCACAGAATATACAGTACTGTCCGCACATAGACCTCTACATAGAAGACCGGTTTGGACATGATATTTATTTCACAACAGAAGTCCGAGTATGAGGCGGCAAACGGTATGTGGGGTCAGGCTGCCTGCTTCATCTTCCCACTGGCTGATCATCTGCGAGGGGATTAAAATAATCCATTTGGCTTTACTGTACCGCTCCACCTCGCTCGCTTCTACCAACTCAATCAGATCGGCTTCTATTCTCTTTTATTCACAAAAGGTTGTGAGCAGGAGACGAGTAAGTGTGTGAGTGTGTGCGACAAGCGGGGGCTGGGGCACACCGAGGCATTGTAGTGTGTTTGGGCAGTCGTGTGTGTGTTTATACAGGTCAGCATGTGCGCGCGCGTGTGTGTGTGTGTGTGTGTGTGTGTGTGTGTGTGTGTGTGTGTGCGCGTGTGTGTGTGTGTGATATTTTTTCCAGCAAAATGGGCTGAGGTTGCGGTCTGAAAGGAAGGAGGGGGGGGTCAGACTGGGCTGAATCATTGTTCTGGACTTGTATGAGGCTTAAAATGTCAACATGGTTCAGCTCTGCTGTCCCAGTTAGCCAAGCATTAACCCAGACAGCCGGACTGACCATGGGTGTGTGTGTGTGTGTGTGTGTGTGTGTGTGTGTGTGTGTGTGTGTGTGTGTGTGTGTGTGTGTACGAATGCGTTATGGTCGCAGACAGTGAGCACAGCAGCGAGCCTATCTGTAAGATCTGCCCATGCCAGCGGATTTAAGCAGGATTTAGCTGTGCGCAATGCATTTGTTGTTATTTCTGATCCCTCTCATTTTAAGAAGGCATCAGGGGCCGGGACTGGGCGCTGTCTCTCTCTGAGAGCGTAATCTCACTTTATCTGCATTCCGTATTTCATCATGGCCCAAATGAATAAGTGACACTTCAGATGGGCTGGGGAAGAGTGCTTTTAATATGTAAGACAGAAGAGCGTGTGAGCGCTGGATGATGGGGATATGCCTCCTCCTGTGTTCGACGCTGGAAGAAGGTCAGCCATGGTACAGAGCAATCATTTCCGAAGTCACCGTTTCGCAGACTAACTCCCCATGAAAATGAACATGATCGGATTAAGGCCGTTCACCGTTCATGGGCATCCTGAGAGAGACATTACTGAATAAATGCCTTCAATCACCTAAAAGGATGAATGCAGAATGGAATTGACAAAAATGGTCCAACACAGGTGCATCCGACCTTAAATTTTTATTCTTTTTTTTTTTTGCTCATCATATGAGAGAGCAAACTTGAAAGAGGGTGAGGCGCTATTGTCGGTTGCTCGTGAGGGTGAGGGGAGCGGTTGTGGCCTATAGGAGTGAGAACGCAGGGAATCCTTTGTCCAATGTCTTTTAATAATTTTCTGTATTTCAGCAGCAACAACCACCCATCAAGCGTGTGCGTGTGCGTGTGCGCGTTTGTGTGTGCGCGACTCGGCGCATATGCTTGTGCGCGCGTATACACGCACACACCATAGCCAGGTTCGCGCGCGTGAGTCATCACAATCAGTCTCTAATTGGAACTACAAGATGCATCAGTGAGGCATAAACACGTTTCCATGGCAACGTGGCTTTGTTGCTGACCATCCCATCTACTCCCCGCCTTCCCTCGATACCTCACGCGTTCTCGTCTTTTATTTCTGTCCACAAGCCCAACCTCTCTTGCTTTATCCTTTCACCCATCCACCTACTCCACATTTCTCTGGCTATGCCCCTCCACTTGCCCTTTCTGTATAGACACACAGATGAAAAAAAACATACCAGACAAACAAGTGAGAAACCAGTGGGGAGAAAAGAAAGTCTATCACAATTAGACTTTAAATGGTCTCACTCAACAAGTAGGTCCTTTGTACGATCCTTTTTGCAGATATTGCTTTTGTAAGAGTTCCGCTCAAAAGGCCACCAATCCCGGCTCTCACACGCAGCCTAATTCTCAGTTTTCCATACCATTTGTTACAGTATCAAAGACAGCCACAACCATTTAGATGAATAATTAAGATTTCCAAAATCTCAACGTCTTAATATCCCTCAAGGATTTAATCACAAGCCGGCCCCTGTCATTGATTCAATTTTCCGAGCATGTCTTCGAGTCGGCGGTTAGATTGCTATCCTGCTTCTGTTTCCCAGCCTTTGTCAACTGTCTGCTGTAATGAGGCTCTGGCTGCTGTGGAGGTCTGGAAGCACCATCGCAGATGGGAAAGAAGCAACATAAAAGAAATAGGGCAGCAATTAGTGTTTAGCCCAGTTTAAAAGCCCTCCACTTGGCAAGCTGCATGCTAACTCGCGTCCAGGATGTGAAACTAAACTGGTGGGGCTGCGACTTTGTCTCCCGTTTGTCTCTCAGCTGGCTTAATCAGCAGCAATCCATTGCTACAAACAACCACGCGATGGAGAGGAGGGGATGTGGGACTGAAGATTATTGTACTTTTGAGGAGGTCAAAAGGGAGAGTGGTTTCAAAAGGGAGGATGAATTGCATCTTTCATTCATGATGTCGAGGGACTTGGGAAGAGATGTTGATGAAAGGAGTTTTAGTGCAGAGAGAAACAGCCGTGCAGATACAAATTTAAGTTCATGGGGAGGCAAATCCGTCAATGTGAAACAGGCCTCATCTCCTATCGTCAAATGAGGCGGATCTTGCCGAACCAAGCAAAATACAAAGAATTATTTTGATAACAACCCAAAAGAGGTTGGTTTTGTTTCATCTGGATGGCTCCAATGTGAGCTCAATCCTGGAAAGAGCTTATACAAACAGCACAGACGAGAGAACAGAAAACAACGAAGCAGAGGAAAAGAGCCGACCCCTGCCTCCCAAACCCCCTAAAAAACACAGATTTTTTTTTTTTTTTTACATTCCACTGGTGAATATGAGCACATGATCTCACATATGCTTCACCCTCCCACTTTCTCATACACACACACATGGATGTGAGAGCGTACAAAAGCACTGTGGGGTGCATCCTGGACCTTCTCAGCCACCCCTATTCATTCGCCCTGGCCTCGCCGACTTTCATATAAAAAAACACCGCCTACACGAAGGCCCCCTCAGAATCCCTCACAGAGCCTCAAATCGGCCCTCACCTACCCCCACCCCGACACCAGCCCCGCCCCCGCCCAGTCAACTCGGGCCTGTGTCCCGAGTGCCACGCTGGCATCAACCTTCGCTAATTCGATGGATGGACCCCAAAACATAGGAGCTGGGAGAGGAAGAGCCACACACTTTCCCTATCAATAGAACAGCATCGAATTGATTTGTTCCTGCTGAGCAGCAGCAGCATGAATATGTCACACATATCGAGCAAAAATCAATTATCCGCAATAAGACATCCAGAGGGTTATCGGCCAACAGCTCGGATGCAGATACAGTCAAGGAAAAAAAAAAAACCACACACTCTCTCCAACATGGCTTCACGATGACTGCATGACCTTTAAAATGAACGCGAGAGTGTGAAAACAAACCCACATCCACCAACGCAATCAACGCCACACCAGGTACTCCAATCCCCTCCCTATCGGTAATTATCGCACCAGGAAAAGTCATCCCTACCCAATTACCATTTCTTTTTCGCAGTCTACACACAATCGGTGTGGCGTCTGACTCCCGCCCTGGACATTATCACTGAAAACACCTCACAAAGAGCGTCTATATCTTTTCTATCAATATTGCATGGATTCAGAGTCGGGATTTCCTTTATGACAGATCATGAAATGTACAAGTCATTCAATGAAGCAAATCAACCCCTCTTGTGTATTGCAGTGGAGATCTTGAGCGTTGTGTAACATGCATAAACAGAAGCCCGGATTAAACAAAGCTATAATGGCCCGGGGATTTTTTTTTTCATCGTGAGATACGCAGGCTTCAGCCTGTCCTCCTTTCACGATCAATGTGAAATAATTATCTTCTCGTCGGGGCTGTTTCAGCTTCAAAACGTTTACGAGATCCAGTCGAGATAGAAAGACGCTCACACGATAGAAACAGCCAGGCGGTCGTGCGTAAACTGTCTCTCTTTATGAGTTGTTCAGGTCCACCGAGAGTTGTTGACTGGTATGAGCATTTCATATGATGGAGAAAGACACGCATGGCGAAGCTGTCGCTGTCAGGATGCTTGAGTGGATGCTCCAGAGTCATGAGAGCCGCCAGTCTCAAAGGTGCCTCCCGCTGGCTTTGACGGTCTTAAGAAAGCATGTTGCTCATCAAGCTTGTGACCAGAAAGTCAACCAAAGTGCTTGTATACAAAACCGGATTGTGTCTGATTGGCACAGGGGCAGATGTTCCCATAGACTAAAAACACACACACACCCATACGCATATCTAAACACGCAGCCTGCAGCGTACACACACAGATTTCCTCACGTTAAGCACAGTAAACAAGTCACCTCCACGGGACCGAATGCACGAGGAGGCCGCACAGACAAGCATCCTGAAATTAAACAAAACAAAACCCCATATGGCTGCGCAATTGCTGAGCATAGCAGGAACGATTGGAGCCCGATTGGAGATTCAAGTCAGCAGCGGAATTGGATCACCTATGAGCTCCCCAAAACTGCATTACGGGTGAGATGTGACCACCGAGACTGAGAAGCATAAATGAACTGAAGAAGAAAACGAATCACCCTGCAGAGCA